TATAATATAAGCTCTGGCGGACTTGGTTCTATGGTAGGTCTTAAAGGGTTAAGGAGGGTTTTAATCCGGTCATTCCTTCGAGACCTCCTGAGATTTGTTAAATGATGGTTCTCCGTAGTCTATATTATGACACAAATCAATATATCTTTTGAATCAACAGGACAGTGTCTCTTAAGTCTGCAGATTCTAACCAGGAAAACAGCCATTCGGTTATTAAAAATGCACTGAAACGCTGGTTTTCCTCTTAAATAAACAAAAGTGACAGAGGTGTTTGCCTTCCTGAGTCAGCAAACCTTTAACTTGAGTTGAATTCACAGGTTCAGTGACTTTACTGAATGAAGAAGCTGGGAATACACTCGAAACTGTAACAATTCATTGTTGTGTAAAGTGCTTTGGGGTCCTTAGGGACTAGAAAAGCGCTATACAAATACAGGCCATTTACCAAAATACATTAAACAGAAAATAATATGTTCATACTTTTTTTTAAAATAAATAGATTTTATAAACCCTTTTGCTTGCGTGACCAACATAAAGTTAAAGCTGATATGGCTGGACACACTGTGTGATGACACTTTCTAAATTACCCCAAAAAGTTCGAAATGATATTCTGTTACCTATCAGTGCCTATCTAAAAACATGCATGCATCATATTAATATATATCTGGGGTAAGGCAATGTCAGGTTCTATCCCATATTTACTGAATGTATTTATTTTGCGTAGTCTACAAAGGTATAAAAAAAACAAGAAATGTCTAATATTAGAAAATGTTCAGAAAAAGTGCAAATTCTCCACATGAGGTCCGTGATGTTCTCCGTGATCAGTGTTCAGTCCTGACAATATTCTGTTTGCAGTTTTAAAGAATTCAAGAAGCATGTTTGTAAAAAGGTCTTAAAAATATATTAATCGTTAAATTATTGTTCACAGATTCTCTGCCAACCAAGTGATCAATTATTATTGCCCTTTCGTTCCATCTGTTATCAGTCAGGCTCTGCGGGGACACTTTCTCCCTCTCAGGCTATTTGTTGCTAATGTTTCTGTGCTGCATTAGTTTCATCAGACTCCTGTGTGCCTTTTTTCAATATGCATATTTCATGAGATGCCAGCCACAGTTTTAAGTGCCCTGTTGTTATATGGTGCATTTATCGCTTCTCTTTGTGCC